TTCCTTACAACATGACTAATGTGAAAATATGTTTAATAGGAGTGTATATGTATAGCCTATATCAGACTGCACTCCATCTTGGGAAGGAAGGTGGAAAGGGAGGGGGAGAAAAATTTAAAACTCAAAAGCTTATGGAAGTGATTATTGATAAATCAAAATAAATTTAAAAAAAAAAGACCACCTTTCTAACAGGAGGTAGGTCTACTCTGCTTCATTTTTGGGCCCCTAGAATCACGTTTTATCATTTCATCAATTAAATATATAGTCTTTCAAAGTTGTTTTTCTTTGTAATGTTATCATTAAATAGTTTTTCTAGTACTGCTCACTTCACTCTACATTAGTTCATTCACATGCCATTTCTTACAGTGCAGCAACATTCACTATTCATATACTATAACTTGTTTAGACATTCGTCAATAACCCCCTTAGTTTCCAATTTGGGGATGCTACACGAAAAAGGATTTTCAAAAGTATTTCCATAAATATGAGCGCTTTTACTCTTTCTTTGATTTCTTTGGGGCTATAAGCCTATTATCTAAGGTCAAAGAGAATACACAGCTTGATTTTTTTTGGGGGGGGGAGAGGATAATTTAGTATTTCTTTCTAGAACAGTGTGCTTACTCATATCAGCAGTGAATCAGTGTGCTTGTTTTCACATATCCCCTCCAATATCTATTATTTTCCTCTTCTGTTATCTTTGCTAACCCGATGGGTATGAGGTAGAACCTCATAGTTCTTCTAATTTACACCTAAGTATTAGTAATTTATAGCATTTTTTAACAAGGTGGCACAGTGGATAGAGTGGAGTCAGGAAGACTCAACTTCCTGAGTTTCAATCTGGCCTCAGACGCTAGCTTTTGTGACTAGTCATTTAACCCTGTTTGCCTGTTTCCTCATCTGTAAAATAAGCTGGAAAGAAAATGGCAGAACATTCCAGTATCTTTCCCAAATGGGGTCACGAAGAGTCAGACACAACTGAAAAATGACTGAACAAGAAGCAGCATTTTTTATGTTTGATAACTTGGATTTCTTCCTTTGAAAACTGCCTGTTCATATCCTTTGAACATTCATCTATTGGGGAATGGATCTCAGTCTTATAAATCTGAACCAGTTTCTTAGTTATTTTGAAGATTTTTAGGAAGAAACTCACTACAAAGACTTTTTTTCTTTTTTCTTTTTGGCAATTGGGGTTAAGTTACTTGCCCAAGGTCACACAGCTAGCAAGTGTCCAGTGTTTGGTCTGAGGCCAGATTTGAACTCAGGTCCTCCTGACTTCAGGGCCGGTGCTCTATCCACTGCGGCACCTAGCTGCCCTGTAGGTTTACTCTTTTTTTCGTTTTGTTTTTTGGTTGGGCAATGCGGGTTAAGTGACTTGCCCAGGGTCACACAGCTAGTAAGTGTTATGTGTCTGAGGCCAGATTTGAACTCAGGTCTTCCTGAATCCAGGGCAGGTGCTCTATCCACTGCGCCACCTAGCTGCCCCCAAGACTTTTTTTCCCAGTTACATTTCCTTCCTCATTTTAATTTCACTGGGCTTTGTGCAAAACTTTTTTATTTTAAATAAAATTGTTCATTTTATCTTTTGTGCTCCTAATTCATTTAGTCAAGAACTCTTCCCCATCCACATAGATGAGATAACAATGTCTCTCTTTCTCCTCTAACTTGCTTATGCTGCTACTTATGTCTAAGTGATGCAACCATTTAGAGTATCTTGGTACCCAGTTTGAGGTGCTGACATGTACCTAATGTCTGCCAGATTGCTTTCCAGTTTTCCCAACAGTTTTTGTCAAATAGTGAGTCCTTATTCACAATAACTGGGGTCTCTGAGTTGATTGAACAGTGTCACTGCATTCCTTTATTCATTCTTGATATCACTAGTTTTCAACTATCTAGACCAAAAATGGAGATTAGGACAGTGAGTAAATAACATAGCTAGCAAACATTTTGAAGATGGGAGAAGATGCCTAATGGGCATCCTTCCCAAATGACAAGCAGAAAGGAAAGGCCCTCACAGACTGAAGACAAAACTGGTATTTCAATTTTAAACCTCAGTGAAACATGTTTATTGGTTTACAAATCTACATTAACATATGATGGTTTATAAATCTGTATTAACATTAAATTCGTAAAAATATTTGCCTTTATTAGCTGCTTGCTGTTATTATATTAACTATATTTATAGAAATAAAGAATCTTAAAGAGTTAGAAGAGAACTTACAAATAGGTCATTAAGTCCAACTACTCACCAGATGCAGGAAATTACCTTTCCAACTTCCCTGACAAATATTTCTCTAGCCTTCTCATGAATACCTGCAGGACCAAGGAGCTCACTACCACAAGACAACCCAATTAGGGGTCAGTGCTAGTTGTTAGAAAGTTTTTTTCTTTTACTGAGTAACAGCTTCCTCCTGTAACTTACACCCCCTTGTCACGCTTCTGCCCTCTGGAGCAAGTAATCCCTTTTCCATATGAATAAGTTAAAGATAGTTTTTTTCCCCTTGAAATCCACTTTCCTTCCCATCTACCTTATTTCTGCATGGATGTGCCACCATCTTTCTAGTCATTTGCAATCTCAGTTACCTGCTGAGTCTTCGCTTTTATTCCGACATTGCCATATGAAATTGTAACCAATTTACCAAGTTTTACTACCTCTCAAACATTTCTTGTATCTTTTTCCCTCCCTCCCTCCTGCCCCTACCCTAATTTATGCTCAGCCCTTCTTACCAGGACTAAAGCTACTTCATGGGACTCCCTTCACCCAGGCCCATTCCTCTCCAGTTTATCTTCCATACAGCCACTAAAATAATATTTATAAAGCACTAGTCTGACCATGTCCCCCTGCTCAACTTTCAGTGGTTCCATACTGCCTTTAGGATAAAACGGTTATTTTGTTTGGCATTTAAAACCCTTTACAATCTAGTTACAGCTTAGCCTTCTGGACTTATTCTTTTCCATATGTGTTCTGGCAAAACTAGACCACTCATTGCTCTCTGTTCATGATATTCCACTGCCATGCCTTTGTTCAGGCTGTCCTCCATGTCTGGCATGTTCATTCTCCTTACCTCTGCTCCTTAGAAACCCAAGTCCCCTATGAGGATCAGCTCAGGTATTAGACACTTCCTAAACTGTTACTGCTCCCACCAAATTATTTTGTACTTACTTACCTATCCACCGTTTCTCCCAAGTAGAATGTAAACATCTTAAGCAATGGAACTGTTTTATTTTTAATAGCAACAGACTAGCACAGTGCCTTACATATAATAAGTACTTGATGCTTGCTCAATTGAATGGAATTAAGATTGTGATCAACTAAATTCCCCAGATCTTTTTCATGTAAACTTACTGCCAAACTAGGTTTTCAACATTCTACAACTATGAAAACGATTTTTAAACACAGGCCTTTACATTCATTCAACCAACTATATGAATATCTATATATAATGTAAAGCACTGTGCAGTACTATTTTTATATTGATTCATCCCCATTAGAATTCAGTTTGTTGATTTCTACTCAAGTTTCTAGTCCCTTCAATTCACCACATGCTTGTTAAGCTTCTTCTACATGCAAATTCCTGGCCTAAGATACAAAAAATACCAAGGAAAGACAAGTCAATCAATATTATGTTGAATATTAATTGATTCTATCATCTACCACCATTATGCACCTCTTTTCAGCTGAGTCATATACACATTTGGTAATAATGTCCTCTTTATCTTCATTCAGGTTACAAATAAAAATACTGAACCAGATTAAGATTTGAATCCTGTGATACACCACTAGAAATATCCTTACAGGTCGACAAAGACGTTAATAATACTCTTGAGAAAGGTGGTTAAAGCAGCTGTAAATTCACTTAAATGCACTAATATCCAGCCCACATTTCACCCTCACTTTCATCAATGTACCACTTATGAGATTAATCAAATGCTTTGCTGAAATCAAAATACATAATATCTATAAAATGTCCATCATATGATCACTAAACTTATCAAAAAAGGAAAGTAGGTGAGTTTGAAATGACTTGTTCTTTGTCAACCTACATTACCTCCTAGTCATAATCACCTTCCCTTCTTAATGACCACAAACCAAATCTTTTAGAATTTTGCAATAACATGAAGCTTATTGATTAGAATCCACACTATTGAAAACTGAAATGTTTGCAGAATTCTGTGACCATTTCCTGTTTGTAAAAGAAAAAGACTACCAATAGTAATTCTGTGATTACATATATAATCACCTGGGCCTGAAGATTTTATTCTCTCTTTGTTTTACCCTATCCAATCTTAAGACAAATTCTTCTTAAAACATTTTTCCCAATTTTTTTTGTGAATATTAAAAAAAATCAAGAATAAAAGAGGCTAAGAGAAAATGAAGATTTAGATAAAAGATCATACATTAGCACTATGTCTTAATTAACATGACATGTGCCACCAATTGCCTGGTATTTCTTGAAATAAGTATTTACCAGGGGAAAATATTCAGAGCTCTGCAAAAGCCAGTACAAATTGCTTAAGTAAATTCACAAAGGCACATAAGTATACTGAAAAATTTTTTTACATTGAAAATATAACACCCAACATTAGTATTTCTTTCAGCAGGTAAGATGCCACTAGATATAATGTAACAATGAATGGTGGACTTATCTTAGAGTCAGAATACCTCAGTTCAGTATCTGACAATTACTAGCTACATGACCCTGGGAAAGTCAGTTTCTCAGCATCCTAAGGGTGCTACTTAGAATATGGTATAGACCAATTAAAGAAATCATAGACTTAGTAACCATCTACTGCCTGCTCAGTCCCACTCCAGCAGAAATGATGCTATCATCAGATTGTGACTGATAACAGTGAGTAAAAGGAGTTGTGCATACAAACTTTATGTATGTTTTTTTAGAATAATGTACATTTACATAACACTTTAAGGTTTACAAATGCTATTCTCACAACTTTATGACATCAACAGTGATATCAACTATGCAAGCACTAATATCTCCATTTAACTATTCACTTCAGCAACACACATATTACAATTAGAGTAATATAGAGAAAATCTGCATGACCCCTATACAAGAATGACACAAATTTGAGAAGTGTTTTGTATTGTTTGCTTCCTGGAAGAAGCAATGGACTAGTTGGACAAAATGAGACATATATTTTTCAGACACGGCCAATGTATCGATTTGTTTTCCTTGGCTATAGCTATCTTTCACAAGGAAGGGCTTCCCCTTACTGGGCATAGGAACTGGATAGTTGTGGTAATAATGCACAAAAAGAAAAGACCATCGATGAAACTTTTTAAAAATACACAGAAAAGAGCAGAAATCCAAAAGGGGACAGACAAGCAGGGCAGTTTTGTTACTATAATGTTAAATTTAATACATAGGATCAATCAATATATATTGAAGCAACTACTATGTGCCAGGCGCGTGCACACACACACACACACACACACACACACACACACATATATATACATGTATAGGCTACATATAACAATACACTGTAATTACAATTTTCTTTTCCATTCTTGATACTGAAATGTTTATGTTTGATATGACAAGAAAAAGAAAGAAATTCCATTTTACAGATAAGGAAACTGAAGTTCTGAGACATTAAATGATTTGCATGTGATCGATCACGAAGCTAATAAGCGTCAGAGCTGGGAAGCCAAACCCAGGTTTTTTAAATTCCAAATCCAGTGCCCTTTCTATTACATAAGGCTGTCTTTATAATGTCTAAAGTATTACCAATAATTCAATACATACTTTTGGGTTAAAGTAATGAAATTTTATTTTAACATCTGCCAATGCGTTTAATTTTTCTTGAAAGGGAGCAAGCCAGTGAATTTAAAGATTAACTGAATGCTCTACATCCATAAAAAATAATGCAGTTCAAGAACTATATTCCATGGGGAAAAAAGTCACCTTAAACTTAAATTATACTCAATAATTATATTTTATTCATTGAATATTTTTAAAACAAAGCTTATGTTATAATTCTTAAAGAAGCATTTTTTACAAAATACTAAAATCCTTACATGCAGAGAATTATACAAGGCCCAAAGAAGAGAACTGGTTTTAGTGATGGTGGTGTTGTTCAAACTGAAGTCCACAATACCCACAAGTTCCAGTTTTAGTCTCTTTGTCCTGTAAAAAGAAAAAGCAAACTCTAAACACAGGTACCAATATTTTGCTACAACTTTATGAAAAAAAAAAAACTAACATTATAAATCAGTTAATAAGTTATCAAAGTTCATGAAACCTGAAATTAAACATTAACTTTACAAAGCTTTATATGACGGCTATCCTTTTATACAACAATTAATATACGTACACACTGTAAGTGTATTTATTATGTATATATATGTGTGTATGTATATATGTATGTATGCGTGTACATGGTCGTGATTTGTGTTCTGTCAGCGTAGGCCACTCCTGATATGAAAATTCCACCTCAAATGTAAATTAACAACTTATCCATAACTTATACCCTTAGGAAGTTATGTAGGGCACAGAAAATTAAATTGATTTGCCCCTCATAGCAAATAGGCCATTGATGCTGAATAAAAAGAGAGGCCAGGCTGACATACATATATTTGGTATATATATATTTATTTGCCAGGGCAGTGGAAAATAGACTGCAAAGGAAAAGACTTGAGGCAAAGAGGCTAATGGCAAATGGTGATTAGGAACTTAAATGTGCAATGCTGTGAAGGTAAAAAACATGAGATCTGCCAATAAATTGGACATATGGGTTCAATGCAACTAAGCAGTTGAGAATTACACCAATGTTTCAAGTCTGTATAGCTGGGAGGATGGTGGTATTCACCAAAAGTAATAGGAAGATGAGAAGAAAAAATTGGAGGGAGAGGGCTGGCCCCTAGGTGGAGGAGGAGATAAGGAGTTATTTTTTAGATTTGCAGCTATCCAATTTGAAATATTCAAAAGGCAGCTGGCGATGTAGAAATGGAATTCACAACAGAGATTAAAGATAGATCTAAAGCTTTGGAATCCTCTGATACAGTTGATTAGGTCACCAATCTAAGTTTACGGGCCCTTTGAGATTAATCAGAGATCTCAGATTGAGAGGCCCTGATATAGAGGAAAAAGAGAAGGGGGCCCAACACAGAACCTTGGATAATTACCCACAATGAGTAGGCATAACCTGGATGAATATCCCACAAAGGAGAATGAAAAGGATATGTAAGTATTTAAAATGTATCTCATAAGGTTGTTTTTTTTTTTAAGTTTAATTAATTCCTTTTGCCATGTAACAATTTCAATGACTGTTTCAAGCCATATGAGTTCATCAGAAGCGGTACAATACAAAATGCATGCAATTCAAGTGAGTTGTGAAATGTAAAAACTTTTTAAACTAATGGTATGCAATTACAGAAATGTCTATCAACAGGCATTTATTAAGTGGCTACTTTGTGCCAGGCACTGTGTTAAGCACTAGGAATACAAAGACAAAAAAAAGAATTTTGCTCTCAAGGAAGATTACATAAGTACATACAAAATAAATACATACAGAACACAAAATAAATGCTATCTAGTTAGGACAGGAAGGCATTACCATTTGGGAGGGATTAAGGAAATGTAATATGAAAAAAGTGCTGCTTGAGCTGTATCTTGTTAGAAATGAGGGACACTGAGGAAAAAGCTGTTACTGCCTGCATCTCCACTGCTCCAACACTAATTCTTCCACATTTCCTTGGACCTATAAATAAACTAACTAAATTTTCTCTTACTATCTTTGGGCCTCCCCCAATTGCACTAATAAGCTTCTCATTACTACTGGATACTCTTTAAGAAGAGCTCACTTCTAAAATTTTACACACACACCTCACATGTATATATGTATGGTGAGTGGCAGAGAAGACAAAGGAGAAAGAGAAAGAGGAGAGAAGTAACCAGCTTCCAAACAGGTTGTATTCCAGTTGTTTAGAACTTGAATACAATGCAATGAAAAAAACAAAAATACTGTTGAAAATGTAGACTGCCTATATTATAGACTTTTGTGGGCTAATGTGGAAACACCACCCCTCACCCACATCACCCCCAGTATCAAAGAACTGGAAACAAATGAAATATTCACCAACTGGGGAATGGTTAAACAAACTGCAGCACATGAATGTAACAAGAGTATTATTGTGCTATATAAGAAAAAATGGGTAGGTATGAGGAATACAAAGAAGACAGGAAGATATGTGAACTGATGCAAAATGAAATAAGCAGGACCAGAATATCATATATACAATAAGTACAAAAATGTACATGGAAAGATCAATAAACAAAACAGCAAAAACTGAATGCTGTAAAATTATAATGGCTAGGCTTGGCCCCAAAGAACAGATGTGAGAAGGCACCTCCCCTTGCTTCTTTGCAGAGTGTGGGGCAACATATTTAACATAAACTTTTCAGATATGCTGATTAGTTTTCCTAAACTATTTTTTCCCTCTTTACCATAAGAATGGCTCTAAGAAGGAAGAAGAATACTTTGGGAAATGCAGGTAATGTAAAAACAAAAGATATCAATAAAAATATATTTAACAATTTATTTATGAGATACCTTATATTTGAAATCATTAATGCCTTGAGTAAATTATGTTTTTGAATTCCCACAAATAAGCTTACAGTTTCTACTCTTTGCAATAGGGGCTCCAGCTTAGATAAGTCTTTCAGGAATTGACTCTTACTAACAAATTACCCCTTATAAAGAGAATCCTGATTACTTTGTTTATTAATGTTCTTTCCTGCTTCAAATACTGGGGTATTACACAAAATTAGGTCCTAATATTCACAGCTACTCTGAATTTAAACAAAAAAATTTTGTTACTATATATAGAACCACACTTTTATTTATCAATTCTTCTCTGGATTGTAGTTAAGTATTTATAATACTCAGAAAAATTTAGTCATTCACATTTACTCTTTGAACAATATGGGTCTTACTGTACACAACGTTCTCTTGGTTCTGTTCATTTCACTCATTATTTCTCACCAGTCTTTACATGTTTTTCTAAAAATCAACCTGCTCATCCCTTCTTACAGCACAGTCGTATTCCATTACAATCATACACCACAACTTGTTCAGTCATTCCTCAACTGATGGACATGTCCTCCATTTCCAGTCTTTGCCACCATAAAGAGAACAGATATAAATATTTTACAACACATATGTTCTCCTCCTTTTTCGCTGATCACCTTGGGAAAGAGACCTAATACAACTCTTCAGGTATAATTTCAGATAGCTCTCCAAAATGGTTGAATCAATTTACAATTCCACCAAGGGTGTATTAGTGTCCCAATTTTTCCACATTCCCTCCAACATTTGTTATTCTCCTTCTCCAGAAAAATTTTTCCTGTTATCTCTACATTTTTCTTAATATCCTTATAAAACCTAATAAATCTCCCAGGCTAATAAATTACCTATACGTGCCAAGTGCTGAGCAGGGACTAGTGAGGAATGTAGTGGAATATATCTACAAAGATGCAGAGCTGAAACTAAGAGGTAGACTAGGTAGGTAGACAGAGGAAACCATACTTAACCTGGTGGATGAGATATAAAGTAAACAGATGAGTCTGAAATGGCAAATGGTTAGGAAAAACACTTGTGGATTAGTAAGGAAGGTGAATTATGAAGAAAGCGATCAAAGAACACTCAACTTTAAAATGCAAGCACAATGAAAGGACAAACTAGGATACGTTACCAAGTTTATGTATACTTTTGGATGACCCAGAGCTCCTCCTCCACCATCACATGATATCACTCGACTTTCCACTTTAGTCACTGGTTGCTCTGCTATCAAATCAACTGCAAAGTTTTCATTTACCTGAAGTGAAAAAAAGAAGAGTTTTTTTTTCATACCACTGACACGAATTTTGAAAATTAAATGTAAGCAAAATTCCATTAAATTCTGAAAGACTCAAGATTTCTACAGGATGGGCACTTCCTCTACCAATATAGATTGAAACCTTTCCAAATAGTGGCTAACCTTTTAGTGATAAGTCTTTCTATACTATATAACCTAGTCCTGAGATGACAAACAAAGCAGTTGTCATTAGATCTATCTTCAAAATATTCCCACCTTAGTAAACCTAGAGCCTGTGCTCCATTATTATGACGTTCAAAAATACAAGGTCACCCTCTTCTCTGTGATAAGGTAGTAGAGCAGGACTTTAATGGGATAACTATATCATTATTCTATAGATGTTAAGAAGTCAGTTTCAAATAACAAAAGTAAATTTTTAGTATTTGTAGGTTCTTTTTTTTTTTAATTTACAAGGGGAAAAATAGCAACAATAATTATGGGCATCAGTAACTATAGGTAGAATTTTTCAGACAACAAAAATAATTTTAGCCTAATTTAGTAGGATCTTAAAAAGAAAATGTGAATACTTCAATATTTTAGAGACAAAAACTTGCTTGCTCAAGAGCTAAATAAACAGTGTACTACTTTTCAAATAAGAATATCAACTGTTTATATCTGTACTGATTCAAAGAAATCTTTTTCTTCAGGAAATGGATGCTGTTTAACACCTTAAGTTTTTAAATCTAAAATAAACGATCCAGTATGGTTGGTGAACAAATTATTCTATTTAATCAAATATTCTGGTTAGAATAGTGATATGCTCAACATACATGAAATACAATTGTCAAAAGTTCTAATTTAATAAAACTGTGTGCAAAGTGATTTATATCATGTCTTATAATAACCTTTGGACAAAAGAAAATAATTTTGGCCTAACCACTTAAAAATTATATAGGCCATAATTTCACCTTTTTAAAAAAACTTCACAGGCCTCATGGTCATCACTATAAATATTAAATATCACTTTAGTGCAGATTTACACAAATTCAGGTTAACACAGTTGTAATTAACAGAATGTTAGACAGCTGAATATACCTAAAATTGCCTAAGATTAAGGATGACAGCTTTTATTTAAAAGAGGCAAGAAACATTTTAAGTCAATTTTCACCTTCCCCAAACCCCCCCCCCCCCCCAAAAACTGATAAAATATTAACCTAAAATGGTATCATCAAAAAACTACTTTTCTATATCATTTTACAAGTTTAAAAAAATCTCAGCCCTCTGGAACAGGCATCGAAATGAATGAAATTAAACTTTCTTATTTATTTACAATATAAAGGACAGACAACCGATAAGACATTGGATAAACATAAATTTTTAGATTATGAATAAAAAAGGCAAGCACATTTTATTTGATAGTGAACAGAAAAAGAGAAGGAAGAGTCAGACGGAGAGATGTGGAGGAATTTAATTGTCTTTTATTCCGTCACAGAACACAGAATTTCAGGAATTTGGCAAACTGTCAGGGAAGCAGATGCTCTGGCAGAATGAAGCTTAAGAAAGAGCTTGAAGGCAAGAGTAATATAATGACAGAGTATTAAGCAAATCTTTAGAAAAGGAATAAAAAGAGAACCCCTTGAAGAGCAAGACAAAGGTTAAGCAAATATTATCTAAGATGGATTAAAAGTTCATTATTAATAACGATTTATTTATATAGAATTTTACAAAAGACTCTATGGTATAAAACACAAAGCTTGCTTATTATCCATAAAGGAAATAGCATATAGAACATGATTGTCACAATTATAACAGCAGCTAGTTTTTTGCATAATTCTTTAAGATTTGCAAGCACTTCGCATATAATCACATTTTTATTTGATCCTCAGGACAAAGGGGATGGGGGAGGTACTATTATCACCTCTATTTCATAAGGCAAGGAACTGAGGTTCAAGGAGCTTAAGTAACTGGTCCATGATTTGGCAAGATTCAACTTCAAGTATTCCTGACTTCAAGTTGTTCAGAGTTCTAGCTCCTCCGTCATAATATACTGCCTCTCTAAATCCAACAATGGACTTAAGGAGGTAAGTGATTTGATCAAATAAAAAAAAGCACTACTCAAATCACAGTTTTGAGAAGGCCTGCAGTTAGATGATGACATAAGAGGAAAGTGTGAAGCAGAAGTTTCATTTTCCAATAAGAGAGACCCACAGTGCAGATTAAGTCTTATGGATATGAAAGGAAGGAGTGGATCTGGGATATGTTACTCAGGATCACACAGCAGGATAAGGCTAGAAAAGATGGATGGAGCAAAAGGACAATGACACTTTCAAAATGACTGAGGTTTCTAGACTCAGAAAGCTGGTGATAAGGCAGAGTCATCTACTTTATGGCAAAAGCAAGAGAGGGTAGAAAATGAGAAGATTTGCCCTGGACATATTTGAGTTGGTGATAAGATATCCCACTTAGATGTCTTGTGACAAGTGTGATTAGACTACAGAGTAGAGACATAGGCTTGTGTGTTTTCCACATACTGATTGATAATAGCTGAACCTTCATGGAAGACAACAACTAGGGAAAAAGCAGCAATCGTCTCCTGATACATATCACAGTAAGGGCCAGAAAGTATGCTCAGACAAAAGAGAAAGTTTATTGAACACAATGCAAATACCACATAGAGTGAAATGAAAAGAGGAGAAAATGGCACAAAATACATATACTGAATACAGGAATTTTAACAGGGATGGGAAGGGTGGCAAGTGCTCTGGTAACATAGCAAGATAAACAAAGGACTTGGAAAACAATGTTCAGAACCAGTGCAATCTTGTATTCAACATTAAATAAACTGTCATTTTAAAATGACATCTTGAGAATTTTTGCAAAGTCCCATGTCAACAGTGTCAAATTTGTCATGATCACAGATAAAAACTGAAAAAGAAAATTATTAAATTTTATGCATAAAACATTGAGAGGCTAAGTAATTACATAATGCTCTAAAAGTTGTGTGTGATGCCAGGATATTTGCCTAGTGCAAAATGTTTTTCTACAATATAATTTAAACTATTACATTCTGGTATTCTCGTAGGTCAATATGAAAAATACATGGTTTCAGGAACTAAACTTATCTAGTTAAAAAACTCTACTCTCACTAGTTGACAGGAAACACAATTTCATGATAACCAACAGAACAGTAACTGTAATTCCTCAGAATAACTGCCCTTTAAGCTAGCCCCACTTCTTCTCAGTTTTCTCATCCCTCAATATTTTCCCCACTTTGAACTCTACCTTGCACTCTTCAACAGAGTATATTCACCCCGACTTCCTTCCAACTTAGCATTTTATTCATCAGATCAAAAACAATCTCCTCCATTTAAGGTCACACTTACATTAGCACCAGAATTGGGATTAGAACCCAGGTCAAATTGAATAAAGACCTTCCCCATCTGGGGAATATTAGAATGTTAGAACATTGACTGTTTTTGAGTGGCAAGGTATAAATTCCCTCTATATTCATTTACTTTAGTAAATAAAGTTCGGAATTGCTAAGATGTCAAATGACCATGGACAAAGACTGTCTTTCCTTGCCTAAAGCACAGTGTTCCTATAATTCTCCCTTTTGTTATAAAGTAAAAACGCAACCCCTCCCCCTAAAAAAGGATTAGGCAAGTGCAATAAATCTAAAACCAATATAATACTATTTAACTTTTATAGAGTTTTGCTAATGTCAGGTAAATAGAGCTATTCTTAAGTTACTTGTTAAACAAGTCTCTTGCTTCTGAAGACACATTAATGGGGAAAAAAAAATCTTCCCCTGTTAAACAGCTATTTAATGTTAGTTACCACAGTCTTCCTAAATTTATGCTTAACCAGAGATGGTTTTATGTGAAATAAATACACACACACGCAGATGTATTTGGAATAAAACTAACTGTCCCAGATATAGACAAATACAAGGTTTTAGAGAAATATAGAAATATGACAAAGAAAGTATTTGACAATTTATAATTTACTATCATCATTACAGTTTATAAGCTTTCCTCTTAAAGTTCAATTTCAAGGTGAAAGAATTTATGATAAAATGCAGTTACAATAAAACAAAAATATGAAGTTGTGTAGCATTATACTAATGCTGTATTACATGGTCTTTTAAACAGAATATATTTGTTGACAGTCTTGTCTCTCCCCTTACAGTGACATCCTTATAGTGTGGTATGAAATGAGTGATGTACTGTTCACCTCTGCTACTGATGGACAAAGCAACTAACCATACAAATGAAGTCTTATAGTTTAAATAATACAATGCCTAAATAAGTGACAAAAATGTCACACAGGCCAGACTAACAAACAGTTAGGCACCAATCATAGCAGTTAAAGAGACCTAGCCATCTTCTTGAGGGAAGGGCATTTGATGCCTTGACATTTCTGACTGACAAAGGGCACACACTACTGTCATTTATTGCAGTACATCTGAAGGGAAATCATAACCCTCCAATTATTAATGTCTGGTTCCTGAAATCAGTTCAACTGAAAGAATGTAAAGAACACAGCAACAAAAACACATCCATCTATAACACAAAAAATGTTATTAGATGCTAATGGCATGTCAAAATAATAATGTTTTTAAAACCTTCAATCTTATTTACTATCACTAAGGAAATTTTAACAGAAAAAACTATTTTATGAGTACTATTAATGGATTGAATGTCATATGCCTTGAATATTTCTGATTAGATGGTAGCATTGGCTAAGGGTTTTCTAAGCTTGTGACAGATCATGTACCCTCCAAACTATTCGACTCCTGCTTTGTAGTAAGAAAAATTCTTCCCTGCTTTGGATATCACTAAAAAAGAAAGTCTTAAAGCCAGGCTTTTGTCTTTTTTTTAAATTATAAACTACACATATTAAATATTTAGTGCTGTTAAAAGGCAGGATTTTGACTGAAATGATACATTTTAGGGATAGCAACTGCTCTGGAGTATTTGCTCTGTCAAATTCAAATCCTACCAAAAAAGGGGAAGCAGAGG